CCCTTCACATAAATGCAGGGATTCCCCAAGGCTCTATCCTTCATTGTTTCTTATCAATAACTTTCTCGATGTTATTGGTTTGCCAACTAGGTATTTATGCTGATAAAACTATTTACTCCTGCCTTCATAGTAGCTTCAATAGGTCCAACAAAGTAAAACTCTTGAAAATGACCTCCAGTCAGTTGTTAACTTAGACAAGAAATGACTTGTAAATTTCAACGCCTCCAAAATGAAACTTAACTTTTAATCATAGAGAACCATTTTTACCTTCTATCAGCATGGCGGATGCTAACCTTCAGAAGAGCTTCTTGGTCTCACATTTTCAACTGACATGAAGTGGAGTGATTATATTGAATCACTTGCAGGCTCTATTGTCAACAAAGTTGGTTCAGTGTCATGACAGACAATCTTTCTTACCAGAATCCCTTACAAATTTATAAATCTGCCATTCAACCATGCATTAAATATGCTGCCACATTTGGTCTAGTACTCCTATATATTTCAAGATTCTCTACAAAAACCAAAGAAGGTTCTGTAATGATATTGGTCCTGATCTGGCATCTCAACTTCACTAAAGTCTTCTCATTCTCTTTCATTCTCAATTACCCCTGGCATCTTAGTGGCATTATCAACTTGCTTGGAGTGAAATGATTAAAAAAATAAATAAATCTGGAAGTTTTGACTTTACTGAGTAGCTTAAAATTTTGTAAGAATTTAAATTCATTAGACAAGAAGACTATTTAAAAAACATATCTGCCATATGTAAATTCATAACATATCCTATTTTAGTAAAGAACACATTTTTTAATCCTTAACTTCTAAGAAATCTTTAATTTATATCTAAATTTTACACTGATAAATTGCTTTTTTTAAAAAATGAATTGTCACTCCTGCAAGAGACTTACTCCAAGAATATCATTATAAACAGACTAAAATTTTACTAAAAACAAAAAAAATGTTTTTAATAGTTAATGTTAGCCATTTTTTACAATTCTCCTAATTTAACAATACACAATTTTGCAGATAGCAGCTCCCAGTTCTTAAGACCACAATTAACACTGAACAAACATACAATAACCTGATTTGCAAGAAAATCTATTTACATAAATAAAACAGAAGTAGCTTTGTTTTATGTTGATGCTTAAAAATTTTATTTCAATACAAATTTGTATAATGGCTTGTAGCACTGCTAGTTGTAACTATTACTAGTGATAGTAGAAGGTATTAATCACTTCAAAGAAAACAATAACCAATTTATGCTTTGCATAGAAGTTTAAAAATAATGTCTATGCACTTCATTTAAATATATTAATAGACAATATCTTAATTTGTGAAGCCATTTCTGGTTTCAAAACTGTAATAGATAAAATAAAACTGAAAAAAAACATGACTCCTTCACATCATTCTCCTATTGAAATATATATACACACACACACACACACTGTAAATAAGCATTAACAAGCCTAATATAGTAAATTTGTTTGAAAAAATTGAAACAACTCTCAAAAAGAAAAAAAAATGAGTGATTTTACTTCTGACTAGCATGAAAAAATGTATACCAAACTTGAAACTCAGGAGAAATGTGCTGACTTTTTATTTAAAATTTATTAAAATGTAATTTAAAAATAAATAATTCTATTTTGTTTAAAATAAATAGCATATAACAAATCCAATTGCTGTGAGCAGATAAAGATTAAATGTTTTTCAATTTTCACCATGTTTTCATTATTACATGTTTTGTATAACAGAAAAAATGAAAACAATAAACCTTAAATTGTTATAGCAACATTTTTTTATAATCTAAGATATATTTTGCTGTTATAAAAAGTATTTATTCTACCTTTGAAGGAAACTCACAAATATAAAAATAAACTTCCCTACATAACTTTAAGTATGGTAGAGAATGCATGCAAAATTAAAACATGTTACTCATAATCAATATGAATAGTAAAAATTCAAAATACTCTTGGTTCTTATATAATTGATTAAAGAAAGTTGTATAGTATTTTGTACTTTACTTACAAGTGCATCAAACCCAAAACTACAAATAGACAATATAAATTTATTTTTTGTGTAGAGGCCAATAATGAACAAAAGTTAATTTTGTTCTGCACCATGATTGGACAGTTACTGATCAACTTCAATTTTAATTCTTATTCAATATTAAGAATAGAACCTGACCAAATCACCTGAATAAGTCATTTATCTAGTCTTGCTTTTTCACTGAAATGAAGCTGCTAGATTTGAGTAGGAGCAGTATCACAAATATCTTCTACAAATACATAAGTACACTCAATATAACACAAATTTCTTTACATGCTTTATAGAAGACTAACAAAACAGTGATTCATGTTTAAAGAATGAAAGGGTTTGCCTAAATATCATTAGATTAGACATAGGAAAAATAAAACCAGAAAAGTAAAGAGGAAATCTATGATTTTCATCAGAATTTAGCATCTATAAAAGGATGCTGAAAAAGTTCTTGGCTCAACACACTTCCTAAAATCTGAACATTATTTTGTTAATGTAGCAGGAAAGAGTTCTTTTATATTGTAAAGCACCAATTTATTTTTTTAATTTGTTATAAATCATTTACTGAGCCTTGTCAACAGAGATTGTGGAATTTTCAAGTGAACTCCAGGCTGCCGAAGTTCCAGTTCCTGGAACAGAAAATTCCATAAATGCATGATGCAAACATTAGGTTACAAGTGATTGTCATACACAACTGTGATATACTATGCCAACTTCCAATGTGGAGATTTTGAGACCTTACTTTCAGCACAAATTGAAAATCCTTCAATAGTGAGAACTCCTGAAATTGTTGATCATGTTCATGACCTGATTTGGGCCAAACAGCAAATCATGGCCAAAAGAATTGCTTTCAAGTGTTGAATTCCATGCTGGGGGAAAGTGCTCTGTTTATAATTCACAAGCAGTTATGTAGAAGCTATGAGTTGGTGCTAAAATGTTTGAAAGTTAACCAGAAACAAGATTGAGTTTGCAACATTTTAATGAGAATTCTTTTGAAAGGAATTGTCAATGTTGATGAAACATGGTTATACTACTATGATCTACAGACCATACAATAGTGATGATGATCAGATTCTCCACAAGTGAAGAAATTCAAGGCCCAAAAATGCTAATTAAGGCACTGAAAGAAAAACTTTGATGCAAGTTGTTGAAAAATACCTAGTTTTGCAAGACAATGCATCTGCTCACGGAGTTAGCAAAACAACAGATGTTCTGATGAATTTGGTATTTGACCAAAGATACTTACCAAATCTTACTTCATCAATTTCATGTTTCAAGATTAAAAAGAGTTTAAAAAAAAGAAATTTGCAAATGATAGCAGCAACAGAGAAATAAGTAAACATTCAGAAGTTTTTTTAAAGAGTTAATGAAACCTGAGAAAGGATGTGCTAAGTGTGTTGACCTGCAGCATGAATGTGTAATAGTGCAATTTAAGACTATGTCAATACATTCTTGATCAGTCTAAGAACTTTCAGAATCACTTGATAAAAAGTGACAAAAAGATGAAGATACTAATAAATTTAATAAATGTGTGGGATATTTTTTTTCAAAAAACTAATATGAAATAATTAAATAAGAATTTAAATTCAACATTGGTAACTGTTATAAGTATAATTCATCTATTTTTAAGAGGGATGGTCAAAATATATTTAACTAAATCACTAAATGATGAAATATGGATTTTTATCTTTACCATTTAAAATCATTTTGGACCTTAAAAAAAGTATTTAAATGAATAAAGATGAAGAAAAATTAGATTCTCTAAGAGAATTAAAAATAATTGGGCATTTTCCACACCCCTATTAATGAAATCCAATGATCTAACCCTACCAAAACTTAATTTGGGAGATTATTAATAAAGGTGACATAGCAACCATCAGGGAATTATTTGGTGAAAGGAACTTAGGAAATGTATCATTAAAAGAGTCAGCATGCAAGTCACTACCATAGTCAATGAGGAAGAGAATTATATAGTGGAACGAATAGAATTAATGATGCTGACTTACAGTGAAAATTATCAGAGCAGGTAATGTTATTCAGGAGATATACAAGATATTCAAGGAGAGTAGCAATTGATTTATACTGAATGTACAAACAAGAGATCCAAATTTTAGCAAAGGATTAAAGCAACAATTACATTAAACCAACAATTTCTGTCATTAACTGAGAAGGGTTTCAAATTAAACTAATAGTTTTAATTATTCATTTTTAATATTTATATATATATATATATATATATATATAAATAATCATTTAATAACATTTTTACTTTTAATATTTCTTAATTTGAAAACCTTGAAATTAATATTTTAATCTCATGTTAAACAGTCTTATTTGGATACAAAGTTGCATACTCTTATGTATATATTAATCTTTGATGAAATCCAGTGATTGTTATGCTATGACTGTTATGGACACTGAACAAAAGGTCAAGCAGGCAGTTTCAGAAAATGTCAAAGTTTCTGAACACATTCTGTTGTTATATATACTGTAAATGTTACTATCAATATCTGGAATGTCTGTATGAACTGCCACCTTATACTTTAATCAACAGAATTGACTTTTTAACTTTGTTAAACTTTTTAGAGAAAATAATTTAAAAGATAGAATTCAAAAAATCTTAACGGAGATAATATTACTTACATATAATAATAAATAAAATATAATAAATAGAAGTAGGTAATAAATTATTTTCCTACTGTAACTGTATATTTTACAAAAATCCTGTACTTTAACTTATTGAAGTTCTTTTCAACATATTTCTTTAAAAAATAACAGTATAATTTTATACCAAAAATAAGGTAGAGATACATTTAATAAAAATATATTAATTTAAAAGTTGGCTTATCACTATCTTGAAATCTTTCTTCATAAACAAAAATAATGATAAAAAAAAAAAACAGCCTGGCTACTAAACATTTTAATCAGCAACATTCATTTAGAGTACTGAAAGAAACTATAAGTCTTACCTTGTATTTGCAATCTTCACTCCCTGACAGAATTAGACCATTGACTGAATTCCATTCAAGTACTAAGATAAGGCCATCATGACCTTTCCACTGAAATAACAATCACAATGTCCTTATATACAACATACATATGATTCTTCATTTCAAATGAATACAAATTTAAGCACAATGGTATTTAACTTTGTTCACAGACAAAATGAGATTTCAAGATATGAAATGTGCATTTAGTTTAATCAAATTTATTTTATACATCTACATTTCATTGTTTTTTTTTTATAAACTTTCATGCTAGAAATTTGTCATAGATACTGTATTAAAATATTGTAATTTATTACTGTAATCAAATTTTTAATTTAATAGCAACAAGAACAAGTTACGAAGAAACTGGATTTAATTTAAGTTAACCTTATATTTAAAATGATCAGGAGAGCAAAAAGTACATAATATTAAAAATATTCCTTAAAATTTTAAAAGTTACCATTCATTTACTGGTTTTCTTTAGATCATTATCTATTATTTAACAGATAATAATGTCACAACATCTAAAGAACATTTTTTGATACAAAAATAAACAGGGTTTATTCACTCCTATGATCACAAGTCAAGAAATTACAACTGGTTACCTTAGAAATTAAAACAGTTTCAAGCTATGAATTTAATAACCTTAATAGCAATTAATGAAATAAAACAACAAATTGTAGATTCATAGTAAATTAACAAGTCAAACCAGTTCCTTTAATTTATTTTAGTTAACACACAAATAAAAAAGTTTAATGTATTAAAACTTTGATTTTAATAAGTAAATAAATAAATAATATTTCATCAGGCATTTTCACCTTAAATGTTAATAAAAATTAAGTCTTACATTCATCTGAAGAAAGTAAAAAAAATATCTACATAGTAATAATGTTATACTGAAATTAACATTTTTGGTTAATATTCGGACAGGAATAAATATTTATTAATAGAATAATTCATGAGGAGAGATTATTTATATATATATATATATATATATATAAAGAAGAGAGACAGGCTTACAGACTCACAGTTTGAGACAAATCATATATTTTTAATATAAACTGAAAAGAAAAATATACTATATAACTGAATTAACAAAAAAATATAAAAACATTACGAAATTTATAAGTTTTGAAATAATTTTTTTCAGCTTCAATGAAATTCTATGAATTTTTTAATTTTAATAAAATAATATTGATATACAATAAAAAGATCATACAAATGTATGCAAAAAGTGCAATACAAAAGATACACTAAAATGAATTTGGTGAAGTATATGCATCATACAATTTGTCAATTTCAAATACATCAGGATTAAAAGTGAATTTACCTACAAGACTACATCTTGAATGAAAATTTTATGAGTAATAAAGCTTAATCTCAAACATATTGGACATAAAGAAATTTGTATACTTCAGTTTCACAATGATCATTATACATAAGAAATATTACTATTCTTCAGAAAATAATAATTAAAAAATCTTCTTTGTTGTTTTTGCTTATAACTTTAACAAATCAAAAAGAGATAAAATAAGTACAACTAATTTCAAAGTTAAATTGCCAACCTATATGAATCTCCACGTCTACTTTCTTCTCAGAAAAGAATGCAACATAACTTTATATAAACCATTTGAAATTTCCACTATTCAATTCCTACTCTACTACCATTGTCTTTTTAAGTCAATATCAAGAATTTTGTTTTAACAAAAAATATTAGAGGCTTAAGAAAATAAAAGGAAAAAAAATGTGAACGGTTCTTCAATTAACAAATACTGAAATAAAACGATCTGACTCATAGCATCAAATGTAAGGGGAACAACTCCGTAATATCTTAATTCCCTTTTATTAAAGTATTCATAATTCTAAGTTACACGATTGTGTGTGTGTATATATATATATATATATATATTATATATATATATATATATATATATATATATATATATATATATATATATATGTATATGTATATATATATATATATATATATATATATATATATATATATATACACACACACAAGTATAGGATTGGTATAGACGGAATAAAATTCCAATAACCAAAAATGCTATTTATATGTTTGTGTATTACAATGAGATTATGTGTCTTCTCATTTGTAAAACTTCTTCCCCTGCCCACATCATCTGAGTTCAGGTGCCTTCAATTGTATCTTTGTTATGATGTTTGAATCGCCTTAGATTAGCGTTTGCTCTAACTGAAAATTTGGGATTTTCGATTAAAACAATAAATAAATAAAAAATATATGTATATTTTCCTCCATTCCTTCTTCGAATTATTTTATTATATTTTGAACTTAATGCAAGGTTAAATTTAACATTTGTAATTTTTATTTTTTAACTTTATAGTAAAATTAAAAATTAATCAGCATGATTTCTAATTTGGTCTAACATTAATATTAAGGCATTAATAAACTGTATCTAAGGATCGTTGTCAAGTTTTTTGAATTATCATATACTTGTATTTTGATTCATCATTGTAGCTTATGTAACAATGTTTCCTCTTAGAGGGCAGTTTGGCTTCACTTTTTAAAACTCTTTATTCAGCAATCAACACCATTACTTGACAAGACACCAGAAGTGTTGAAGCAAAATGGGTATTTTTGTAGCAATGTTATAACATGTTTATGTTATAATTTTTGAATAAATACTATACTACTCTTGTATATATTTACATATGTGAAATGTGTAGGATTCCAGAAATAAAGGATATCTCTTCTTTTCATGTTATTTTAAAAAAGACTTTTAGATTAAATGCTCATAGACAATGGAATGTAATAAAATAATGAACTACTGAAGTTCATTATTTTATGATTTTTTTAAAGTAAAAATTTTTAAGTAAAAATTTGAAATGTATGTCTACAAAATAATTATTTTGAATTTAATCATACTAACCATAATAGGTTTTGAACCTCCATGCTGCCCTTTAATGACTAGGTGCTTGCCATTGGTGAAAACTAATTGTTTGGAGTCAGGAGCCCAAGCCAAGCAATAAACAGGGGTACCTAAAAAGTATAAAACAAAAAAAAAAAACAGACAGTGAAATAACTATGAAATTCATCAGAAAATTCAGTTTAAATTAATTTTCCTCCACTATACACTTCCCTCTGCTTTTTCTATAAATATTTTCATGGTATTGTTCTGATGAGCTTTCCTCTTTGGTACCTTGACTTAATACAGTACTAGACTGACAACTAGGTCTAGTCATTTTATAGTTGAAACGGCTAGATGTAACAACTTATTCTTTTGCATGTCTTGCTTGTGGAACTTTCTTCTGGCTTCTTGCTTTCCAATAAACTTTCACCTTTCAAAATTTAAATGCAATGTTAATCATTATCTTTTGATTTAATTATTCTTTTATTGTTTACTCTCCTTAATTATGTTTTTATTTTTCTCATATTCTTTCACACACTGTCTTACCTGGAGTGAAATGATTAGAAAAGAAAAAGTATAACATAAGACATCAAAATACACTAAACTGTTTATCTAAGAAGAGATATAATAAAGATAATTCATATGTAAAGATTAATATTAAAAAATAATGAGATTTTATATATGCATATCTATACATATGTATAATATCTTAGAAATGACCAAACTAAAATACTATACTTTAAGAACTAGAATATTTTAATTTCATGCTAAGAACATAACTAGGTCTTCATTATTAGTAGTATACTTAAAAGAACTCAATAAAAAAAAATTACGCATTTCTCCATTTACACTGAGGATAGTAATACATGACTTTGATCACAACTGAACTTTTTGGTAGGAACATCAAAAATAAACATTTACATAGTACAGAAGGTCCTCAAGCTACATCAGACCCAAGTAATGGCATTTCGTGATTAAGACAGTGTTATTTTTTCACCAGCTGTATGCCATATTGGAGTGTGCTAAATTCACTATCTCTCATTTGTGTCATATTTTTGGGGAACTTTTTGCTCTTCATTATAGCTCCCAAAGGTAAGGCAGACTTGTGGTTGCTTATGTAGGTGAGTTCTGATCTACATCAAAAATCAGGTTACATTGTGCCATAGGAATGGATCTCTAATATAAGTTGAGAACCCCTGTATTTTGGAAAACATTTTTTATGAAAATCTAAAGCCAGAGTCATCAGAAAAGTGATTACATGAAATAGTTTGTAATCTAAATGGTCACTGATTAGAAGAAATGTATGCAACTGATATTGGGTGTTTCTCAAAACGAGGAACTATGGAAGAGGATTTTCAACAAGCTGAAAAGCAAGAAAAAGCAAGAAAAAGCAAGGCATTTATTGTAGAGCTTCCAGGAGCCAGTTCAGACAGCACATGTCTTAAGAACAATTGCAGGGATACCACTGAGTCTATATGCTTTGTGGAGGATCAAATTTAGAGATGATAGCAGAAACCATGGTACTTTCCTGCCTGCTGGAAGTCATCATCTGTTGTTCCAGTTTTTAAGAAATCTCATGAGCCAGCTGCCCCTTCCAATTATTGGCCTATTAGCCTTCTACCTTTTTTTGGGAAACTCCTAGAGGCCCTAATCAATGCTGAATTGGGTCATCATCTCTCATCACAGAGCTTTTTCTCAGACAAGCAATATGACTTTCATTTCTCCAGGTCAGTTGCTGATGTACTGACAATAATTGTGGAAAAAGTCTATCATGCTCTAGATAAAAATGGTGAAGCCCAGGCTGTAGTATTGGACATCTCAAAAACCTTTGACAGGATCTGGCATTTAGGTCTTCTCCACAAGCTGAAAAGTTACGCTGTCTCTTGACAGATTTTTGAACTGATCCAGTCTTTTCTTTCAAATCGTGAAATGAGAGTTATCCTGAACAGCCACTCATTTAGATCCTTTTGTACTAACACAGGTGTCTTCCAGGGCTCCATCCATTAATGGCCTTCCTGATGACATCAACTCTCAACTTGGTACCTACGCTCATGACACAACAATTTACTCCTGCCTTGTTAGTAAGGCTTATCAGTAAGGTCAAAATGGCAACCAATGTTCAAAATGACCTTAAGTCCGTTGTTAACAGGGCAAAAGATGGCTTGTTAATTTTAACACCTGCAAAACTAAACTTCTCTCTGTTAATCATCCGAGAAAACCCTCACTGCCTTCCATCAACATGGCTGATGCTAACCTCCGAGAAAGTGATTTGTTGCACCTTCTTGAGCTCACGTTCTCTGCTGATATGAAGTAGAAAGACTATATTGGATCCATTGGTAGGTCAGCTGCTAAGAAATTTGGTTCACTATGTCAGGTGAGACAATTTTTCTCTCCAGAATCTATGTCTATATATCTATAAGTCTACCATTCATCCATGCTTAAAATATTGTTGCCACATATGGTCCAGTGTCCCTGCTTAAACTCCTTGATAAGATCCAAAGAAGATTCAGCAGTATTATTGGTCCTAATTTGGCAGCTCGGCTTCAGTCATTCTCCCACCACCTGTCTTTTCTATATATATTTTCATGGTAATTTTTCAGATGAACTCTTTACTATGGTACCTAGCCTTTTCAAATTTAAGCACAGCATCAAGATTTCATCAATTTACAATTAAGCTGACTAGATGTAGCCATAAATCCTATGCTAACAGTTTTGTTCTCTCGCACTTCTTACTTGTGGAACTCCCTTCCAGCTCCATGCTTTCAAGCCAACTTTAATCTGCAAAAATTTAAATGCAATGTCAATCGCTATCTGCCGTCCTCCTGATTACTTGCTTCTCTTTCTGCTTATCATTATCGTTTCTGTCCCTAATTCTTACACACCCTGTAACCCCTTGTGTTTTAATGGCATCATTGTCTTGCTTGGACATCTCAAAAATTATAAAAAAAAAAAAGTACATTAAACCGTAGAGACTCAATTCTAAATGGGAATCCAGGCAAATATACTCCAGATGAGTAGAGTGAGTAGAGATTAGAAGTGGAAGATATGAGTGCCATATCAATTCATTTAACAATGTAATTATTCATGATTATACCTGGATTTAATTGCATCCCATGTATGATCAGCTCTACAGAACTAGTACCTCTGCATCTAACCTCCTTCCCACTGACTGCATGAATTCTGCTCATCCAACTCCACCCATCTAACAATATTGTTGTGCAGCTCATATAGCCTTCCTTCCACTAACTAGCACTTTCACTACAAGCATTATTAGATCAAAAGAGTTAGCCACTGGCACAGTAGCCACACTCCCTTCCTCTAACCATTCTTGCAATGGTTGATAGGATTTGCCTGGCTACACTAGTAGCATGTCAGTTTTGGTCCCTTACAATCTTTAACCTTATGCACTTCTGAAACACAGTCCTTTCAGCATTCATGCCAACCCCTTTCCTTCCTTCCAGTTTCTCACTTTCTTTAGTGTCACCTTCCTTCTTTTTGTCCTACAGAAAACAGTGCAACAAGATCTTGGGCCTTGTTTACCATTAGCACACTCACTCTAACCACCAAATCTTCCATGCTCATAAATTCAATGAAAGGCAATTGCTATAGTCCCACTGAAATATGATCAGAAAACCAGTTAAAAACATGAGTAACTATCCTCTTCAGCTTCTGTAAATCTGGTTAATTCCAACCTTCTAATCTCATTTATATAACCATCCATCTACTGTCCAGCTTGCATGCCACCAAACAACCTCCATGAACATTTTTCTAAGGATAAACAACTTTTTATATATCAAGAACAGTTTTGGAAGAAAGATGTATGACAAAGTGGAAAAGTTTTTGTGTGATGCATTTCATTTCCTTAGAACTTTATCAGACTGAGTTTGTTTACATTGATGCAACTACACATGCACACAAATGACAGACAATAGGAATTTTAAATTTAGAAAAAAAAGATTTTGTGTGTTTTGGCTATATAATCTAGCCAATTTCATTTGGATTCTTGTTTTGTATTGATTAAGTCTTTTATTATTTTAGATGTACTTGTGACAAATTTTATGTTGAGTTTTGATAAATTCTTTTTGATTGTAGTTGCGATAGAATTAGTGGGTAGAAGAATATACATTTTTGGATTCGTTGGGTTTGTTAGGAAGGACAGCATTTCTACTTTGGAATATGCTATGAGCCTTTTGTTTCTCATTGAATATGAAATAGAGGATTGGAGGGTCTTGAAAGTATTTTCAATATATTTCTCCTCTTCATGTAAATATTGAGGGCTGCAAATTCTGAGTGCCCTTTAATTTGGATTATTTCAGATTTTGTTTTGTTGTTATGATGGGAATATACATTTATTAGATTATTTTTATTAGTTTATTGTTGAGGACACTAAGTTTTCTATTCTCATCATAACAACAAAACAAAATTTCTTAATTCCTAAGTTTAGTTATCCAGAAAATGCTCCTACGATTGGAATAAACATTTGAATGTGCTAAATTAAGTAAGATGAGAGAACTCGATTGAATCTATTACTCTCAGGATTTGATCATCATGAATTTGTTTTGCCAAACTGGGCTTTACAATATCAAGTTTCAGAATGACATCCTTATTCTTGACCAGAACAGGACATTTTTTAATGCAAATGTTTGTTGGTAAAAAAATATACTATAATAAGCTCATTTTGTCCTAAAAGCTCATAATGGATACATCCTACTATTATGTATGGACATAAAAAATGGGTAAAAGTGAACTCTTGACAATTTATGAATATACTAGCATGAAAAAGCCTTAGATTTTCAAAGAAGGATTGACAAAGCAATTTTTAAAAAGCAATAAACTATGTTCATTTTACTAAGAATAGAAAATATTAAAATTGTTTTCATTTTAATATAAATTTTCATTTTAACCAATTTTTTTTTTATTTTAAATAATTAGATTTTCTTATGCATCAATATGAATACCAATGAATATTCTGAATAAAGATTGATGTAAAGTTTCTACATTTACAATTCAGAAAATTTTTCCAAAACTGTAACAGAATGTAGAAACTGAGGAACAGCTTCAAATTATCCCAGCTATTTCAGTTAGATTCTTTCCCAACAGGGTAACTTGGCAATCAGCAGTTTGCAGCTGGTTTATCTAAGGTCATCACAAAAACCATTTTTTTTATGCTTTTTTTTCAAACTTTACAAATACCTAAGACAGCTTCTTTTAGTCTTTACAATAGTGAATTTGCCTGTAATACACCTTCATGCTGATAAGCTGAACTATGACCATTATTGGTAACAATTTTCTTTTTATAGTCAGTTTTCATATATTCTTTGAGCAGAATGAATGCTCACCCAATCCTAATAGATCTATTTAGAGTTTCAACTAAAATTTTCTTAATTTAAATATAAACTAAAGCCTTTATTATTCAGAAGGGTGCTAACCCACTTTCCTTTATAGAAAGTTTTATTTTAGGCAAAGAAATATTTTAGTAAAATATGTAATAATAAAATATGTGAGTAACTTACAAATTATATTAAATTTGAAAAGTCTAATGGAAATTACATTCAACTGGAAAAATAATATATCTATATATATATATATATATATATATATATATATATATATGTGTGTGTGTGTGTGTGTGTGTGTGTGTGCGTATGCAAATATATTAAGAATTTATCACATGAGCATTAACAAAAACATACTGCAAATACAATAGTTTTTGAAGGTTCTTATAAATTTAAAAAATTATGCCTTTTTAAAAAAGAAAAGCTACAAATAAACTTCCAAAATGTTATTAAAATAAAGAGGTATTTTTTCAAAATTTCAAATGGTGATATTGTGAAAAAAAAAAAAAAAGAAAAAAAAAGCAGATCCTAAACACTTCCATTTACCGATTCATTCTATTCAAACTGATAGTAAATACAGACTGCACTCATTTAAGCAAACATTGCCAGTTTTGTCAAGTGTTGAATGGTGGCATTGCTAACTTAACTTTTCATTAATGAAATTGGATCAAAATTCAGCTGGTGTGAAAAACAAATTGACTGATATTATAGATGTTATAAATAAAAGATCCTTTTCTAGTATTAATTTTAGTAGAAACTGTATAGAAAAAAAATAATTAAAAAAAAAAAAAAAAACTGCTTACTGTTTTGTACAAGAGTGGAACGTAACATTCGTTGCTTTGACCAAATTTTCACCAAGCCATCTTCTCCAGCTGAAAGGCAATTAAGATTACTTGAAAGCTTATTACATTCAAACTACTAATGAAATAATAGAAACAATATAACAATTTTCTTCACTGCATTTAACAATAAATCAAAAGAAAAAGTTTTTCATTTTAATAGAATTAGGGTAAATTTATTCATGAATTTACAAACAAAATTATCAAATTGAAGTGCTCATGAATAAATTGAGTATTTTTAAACATATTTATTAAATTAAGAATTAAAGCAATACAATATTTTTTTTTAATCCTAAATGTGTCTTACCAGTAGCAAAATCTTCTCCATTTGGTGACCATCGACCACAGAGTATAGCCCCTTTATGAGCATCAGTGCTTTTCTCTAAACGACCTGCTCTATTTATGTAATGGATTTTACCTATAAAAGTAAATAAACTTCATTAAAGTGCATTTACAGGTAAATCAAAATATAAATCTATGGTAATTTATTTATAAGGTTTAATTTATCCTACATATATTACAAAACTTAGCTTTGTCTAACACAGGACTAAATAAGAGGAGGTTAGTGAGTTCAGAAAATTACATTGCACCAATTTTCAAAATGCTGACAAGTGAAATTATGCCTCTTATAAATACACAACTACCTAAGTCATGAGGTAGTTTCATTTATTCTGTACATAAAGAATAGCATAATTGATGAATGCAGAATTCTTTGTTTTTACTCATAAATATAAGCTTAATTCACTTACTTTATTTATAGTAAAAGTGGTACATGCAAACTGAGTCTCAGAAAAAGGAAAGGTCAAGCTTTACAAACAGTTAGTTCTTTGTTTGGCTTCTATTATCAATAAAATTTTACATGATTTTGTTAATTATAAAAAAATAAACCAAAAGCAAATGTTACAAATTCCAAATATGTTAATATTTCTAATTTTATAATATTTAAAGTAACTACATATTAATTTTAGTGATTGAATAGAATGTTTTAAAAGAATTTGGCACATTAAAATGGTAAATATTCTTGTTACAAAGGAGTTGGTGAGTGTTATGATGTTGATTTGGGGTTAGTAAAGACAAACGCCAAATAACACGTAACAATAAAAAGGGGTTTATTCGGTTGGTAAGTAGATACAGAAATCGCCTGAGTAGTCTATAACTAGCTCAGCCAAGAACTTCTCCGACTCTGTCTGTCTTTTTACATGCCACTATTTAACGTCTTTGTTTGTAGACAAGTTCATCTTCAAGAGGGGTGGTAGGTTTCTACACAACACCTCCCCTTGAGATTAATTCGGAGGAATTAATATCTTTCCTTTTGGGATCTGGATTTAAATGTTCCACCCTCGTTCTTTTTTTTTTTGCTTGTCCTTCTTTGGACAACTGTTTCAGGCAATGGTGGAGTTGGTATATCAAATAAATCATATAATACCTCCATTGGTTCTTCCTTTTCTTTACTCATTTCTTCAATGTTTCTTCTCCTTAATTGGTTCAAATGTCTTTTGTGCATCCATTTTTTACTTTTTATCATGTACAACATTTTACCACTTCCTTGTGTTACCACTCCATCTTGCCAAAATTCCTTCCCATTTTTGTAATTTTTAAAAAAAAAAACTTTATCTCCCAGCCTGAAATATTTCATATTTTCCTGATGCGTTTTGTTCTGGTAACTCTTTTTTCTTTCCGGCAGCAGCCTATTGAACACAGATCTAATTTTTCTAGCAAACATCAGTTCAGCTGGAGACATTCCTGATATTGCGTTTGGATTTGGTGTTATTCTGTATATACTTAAAAACTGCTGTATATTACCATCATCTGTATTAGTACTATTTGTTTTTTTAAGGGCTCTCTTGAATGTATCAACAAACCGTTCAGCCTGTCCATTTGACCTAGGATGGTACAGTGAAGTTGTGATGTGGTCAATTCCCAGAGTCTTACAAAACGCCTTAAATTCACTTCCTGTGAATTGAGTTCCATTGTCGGTGACAATTTTTTCTGGTACTCCAAACCGTGCAAACAGTTCCGTAAGAAAATCTTTTGTTACAGAAGCAGTTGGTCTTTTGCACTTAAAAACCTCAGGCCACTTGGAATAGTTATCCACAACTATCAAGTAAAAATTACCATTCATGGGTCCAGCATAATCTATGTGGAGTCTGGTCCATGGAACATCTGTTTTTGGCCATGGTGTGTATTTTACTGATGGTGCTTTCGCTGCCATTTGACACCCTCTACAAGTTTTAACTACCTGTTCAATGTCTTTGTCCATATTTGGCCAATAAACGTAACTCCTCATCAGGGCTTTCATACGTCCAATACCAGGATGCCCCTGATGAAATTCCTTCAAAATCCATTCTTTTGTAGTACAACCGGTATCAACGACCCTTCCAGCATATAACAGCACTTCATCACATATTGAATATGCTGGTGAAGAAGTTTTATACTTTTCTGAAGTTACAACTTTTCATTTTTTTAATAAAAATGTCATTTTCTGATTTTAATTTTATTTCATCTAATGTCACCGGTAATTCTTTTACTGTGTTATGCATTACTTCCACCAATTTATTTTTTGCTTGTAACGACGCTATCACCATATCTTCTAGCGGTTCCAAAGATGTTGGGATCAGCCTAGATAAACCATCAGCATGGCTTAAATTTTTCGATGATAAAAATTCCATTTTGAAATTATAATTCAACAAAATGGTTCCCCATCGTTGCAAACGGTTTGCCGTATGAGTAGGTATACCCTTCTTCGAACCATAGATCGAAAGCAGCAGGCGATGGTCGGTCTGCAATATAAACCTTCTTCCATGTATGTACTTATGGAATTTTTTACGAGTATAGATGATAGCTAAGCTTTCTTTCTCAATTTGAGAGTACTTCTTTTCTGCGGGTAATAATGTCCTTGATGCATGTGCCACTGGCTTCGTATTGACGTGTCTGAATTTATGCAAAATTACCGCACCTATTCCGTACCCGCTTGCGTCCGATGCCACTATAATTTCCTGTTTAGGGTCATAATGTGTTAGTGATAATTCCAACGTCAAAATATTCTTTATTTTGTCAAACGCCTTCTGACACACTTCTGACCATTCCCACTTTGCTCCCTTTTTAAGCAATTTATTTAATGGAGCTGTAAGGCTGCACAAATTAGGAATATATATCCCATAATAGTTAGCAAGTCCTAAGAACGCTTGTAGCGTTACTACATTTTTGGGAGATGGCATGCTTTTGATCGCTTCTGCCCTCGCCGGATCTGGTCTTCTTCCATCAGAGTCTATTATCTGCCCCAAAAACTTAATTTCACTCATAAAAAATTCACATTTTTCAGCTGCAAGTTTGAATCCATATTCTTCAATTTTTTCAAAAACCTGATTAATATGTTTCAGATGTTCATTTCGATCTTCACTTTTTATCAAAATATCATCAAGATATGCAATGGTGAAGTCCAACCCTGCCAGCGCAGTGTCCGTAATTTGCTGAAAAATACTAGGGGATACTTTTAAACCAAAAGGCAGACGGTTTAATTTGTATAAACCCTTGTGTGTATTGATAGTCAACAATTTAGAACATTCTTCATCCACTTTCACTTGGAGATAGGCATCCGATAAATCCAATTTAGAGAATATTTTTCCTCCACTTAAACTTGCAAAAATGTCTTCTGGTGAAGGCAAAGGATATGTGTGGTCTTTTAAGCAATCATTCAGACCCGTAGAGAAATCGGCACACATCCGAATTTTATTATTCTTTTTCTTAACATATACAATAGGGCAGGCCTACTCTGAAAATTCAATGCGTGAAATAACTCCTAAATTTTCAAGCCGTTCCAATTCTTTGTTAATCTGTTCCAAAACACCAAATGGCACATTTCTTTTTCGCTTGAAAATAGGTTTTACATTTTCCTTCACTTCAAATTTTGCCTTCGCCTTTTTGCAACATCCAAGACCTTCTGAAAATACTTGCGGAAATTTTATTTTCAGATCTTTCAACAAATTTTCTGTAACCCGATTTTTACATCGAGAAGAAACATTAACTCTATTGCAAAAAGAATTTATAGGGAGTTCCCATAAATTAAACAGTATAATCCAATCTGTTCCAAACAAATTTGAAGCATTTTGTAGCACATACACTTTAGACTTTAGTGTCTTACCAACAAATGAAATATTACAAGAAAATTCACCTTGAAAATGCAATTTTCTTCCAGAAATCCCGCGAGCCACTTTTTCAGTCTTTTTAAGCAAAGGTCTGCCTATTTTAATCCATGTTGCTGTATTAATAATGGAAATATCACTTCCAGTGTCTAGCTGTAGTTTAACATTTTTTCCATTAATTTTCACCTGTATGAATTTTCTTTTCTGCCCCTCCTCAATCTCCTGACGTGACAATACAATATTCACATCTTTTTTTGGCTTAAATTTTTTTCTTTTGCTTTTACAATGAGTAAATGGCCTTTATTGCCACACGAATAGCAATTTTTGTTGCGAAAAAAACATTCACTTTTAAAATGACCACCTCCGCATCCAAAGCACATTGGTTTTTTAACGTTTTTATTAACTATTCCCTTTTTTGGTCGAATAGCATGGACATGGGATACGTCTTTTTCTTCAATTTGCGTATTGTCATGTTTTAAGTTTTCAATTCTTTGACATTCTTCCGAAACCTTCTGCAAAGTAATCTCGGAATTTTGTTCAAGTTTTGCCAATATTCGGGACCTTATGTCCTTATCTTTGCTAGAAGTCAAGCCTTGAACAAATATCAAACATTTAAATCGATCAATTGAAAGATCATGTAACATAAAACGTTCACACATTCTCTTAACATTTCCAGCATACGTAACAACATTCTCATCGTCACACTTTACCATATTCAAACACAAGAAACGAGTATGAAACAAGCTAACTCGCTTGCCAAAAATACTAGATAAAGTATTAACAGTTTCTTCGAAAGAAATGTCAGCAGTTTTTCTTGGAAGGACAAAATTCATATACTTATTATTTTCATCTGTACCCAACTTTTGTAAAAGTAAACTCACTTTTTGTTCATCAGTCCAACCTTCACATTTTTTTTCAAATATTGTTTCAAATCTTCTGAAATACGCAGGAAATGTTATGCCCTCCTCTGGGTTAAATTTGAACTCAGTAATAGAATTAGCAATACCTTCAGCCGTGAATGACGAATTTACTGGATTCTTAAGTAAAATTGCTTCAAATAAAGCCTTTGTGTCATTTCGCTGCTGAACTTGTAAATCCAATAGTTGTTCCCGAAGCAATTCTTGTTGCTCTTGTTGCAATTTTTGTTGCTCTTTTTGCTGAATTTGACTTTGCACTAGAGTTTTCGTTAATGCAATCAAATCTTCCATTATGCGTAATAGATTACACAAAACACTTTTCGAAAACAGTAAAAAAAAAAAAAAAGGAAAAACACGTATATATCCAACAATAAGCACAAGTCTTACTTCTTTTTGTCATGTTGAAATCCTGTTTCTTCGTGAAGAACAAAATTCAACGTATTGTTTTTTGTTTTTTTTCTTTCAGTGCGAGAAAAAAAAAATTATATAGTCCACCTAGAGTTGAAAAAATTCTCCACTCAGCGTGATGAACGAATCTCTCGTCGCCACTGTTATGATGTCGATTTGGGGTTAGTAAAGACAAACGCCAAATAACACGTAACAATAAAAAGGGGTTTATTAGGTTGGTAAGTAGATACAGAAATCGCCTGAGTAGTCTATAACTAACTCAGCCAAGAACTTCTGTCTGTCTTTTTACATGCCACTATTTAACGTCTTTGTTTGTAGACAAGTTCATCTTCAAGAGGGGTGGTAAGTTTCCTACACAAAAGTGAGAGAGTGTGTCATTTACCTGCCATGAAAAGAATTCACATGGCAACATGCATTGTTTGTGGCTGTAAACAGAATGCAGTGTGATTCGAACCTGAGTCTCGCATTAACCAGTAGAGGTTGATTTATCTAAGTAAAATGAATGCACAATAGATTAGCCAGGATGTTGGTTGAGTGACATGATTTGCATATGTATATGCGAATTTAATCCAAACACCCAGATCAAGTACTTTGGAAGCAAATAAAAGAGCAAATGAGATTGACACAGGGAGTGGAGAGAAAGGTGTTCATAATGGTGTTTTTTAAGGCTGGCCAGGGTGAGCAAGAAAATGAGACAAGCAACCGTGTTTCTTTCCTTTTGTCTTTGACTTCTTTCTTTTTACTGCACATATTAAAAAAAGAATTCCAGGTGGCTAATCATAAAAATGGTTAAATCAACTTTCAAGCAACAAATCAAACCAAACCTACACATTTAATCCAACCTTCAATTGTCATATGAAAAAAAAAAAAAAAAAAAAAAACACAGTTTTCACTTCATGTTCTATGACACTAAGATCTTATGGGGATACAAAGATCATAAATCATACAAAAAATTGAGAATATCAGTATTGTAAAAGCTTCCATTTTCTAAGAAAAAGTATTTCATATTCGTTAAATACTGTTTTTCTCTATATTTTCTTGTTAAACTTCATCAATGTCCTAAAACTTTTAACCAAAAAGATTTTACAACTTCTAAATAAAATGCCAGTTCATTCATTTATTGTTTTCAGAATTTAAGCACAAATTTTTTTGAAATTTTCAACAATTATTTTCTTTATACTTTTAAGAGGCTATTAAAATTTTTACCACTATAAAAGCTTATACACCAACAATTTTTTATGACGACTCCGGATCAGATGAAAATTTATACATGTTTGTAACTTTTGGAAAGAGTGTATTTGATAATAGCTAACAGTTAAAATGTTGTAAAAAGAATTGGTAATTTTTATGTTATTATACAAACCACAAAAAAACAGCAAAAGTTAAATTACAGCCAATGTTAAAATATCTATAAAATATTAGAAGATAGTTCAACTTTATTTTCACACCTCATGAATAATTTTGCTTACCTCCTCTTTTTATAGGATTTTTTCCAATATTGAAAAATGTAATAAACTTTAAAAAGATCTTTACACAGTGTGATAGCATTCAAATGTTAGGCAAGTGTTTATATTTAATTGTACTTTCCAAGATTAATTATGCTCACATAAAAAAATGAGATTATTATTCTTTATATTATCATTCATTGCAACATATGAAAGAGGTACTGAAAAATTCTTGGCTTAGCCCAATTCCCAAAATCGGTATTCTAATGTTTTGATGATTTTTTGAAGTTATAAACAAGAGCTTGTAAAAACTGTAGAATAGAACTTTTATCTAAATAGTCAATATTACTTGTATCTAAATATTCAAAATTAAGACGAAATTGAACGAACCAATTGATATGTATACAATATAAGGTTAACAAACACAGGAAATGTTGACCATTCTATAAAAAGCTATTATGGTTTTCATTATTTATAATCATAAGCTCTCTCAAATAGTCTCTCTCAAATCATATCTGTAAACTACTTGTCAATTATTTATATTTTGAAAATTACATTTACTAACTTTTTTTTTTGAGACATGAAAAATAAAAACAAGATTGTTCTGAAAAATTATTTGTAATAAATTACACTATAAAAAAAACACTCAGTTCCGCACAATTCCAACAATAATAACTTAAACTTTCATGATACTTTTCTCCAGAAACTTAATTATGAAATATTAATAAATTACCTAATTTCAGGGAGAAAGTGTTGCATACTTAAACTAAGAGTAGATATTACTGCTTATACTCCAAATTAAAACAAATCATTTTAAATGCTATATTCACAAGAAAATGTTAAGTTTTAAACTGATTCAGTCAGTTAAGTGCCATATGTGATACATGCTTGGAGCGATCATGTACCTTTTGATACATGACTGATGAGGCAGATTTTCTCCTACAATAGGTTTCCATTTCTTTCTGCGGTAGACAGGTTGCCAACCAAGGCTAAAGAACCTGGTCTGTCCTGATATTCAACCCATAGCTGTGGAGGGAATAGATGATTACATACCATAGGGTATTTGTGCGTAAGTGAATCTAATGAACTCGACTGAAATTTGAACTTGGCTCTCAGAGTTCACACTTGGAGCTGATATCCATTAACACCACAATACACATCCATAGTTAAACTAATAACAACACCAATAAAAAAAAAATTAAAAAGAAAAAAATGGTATCTCATATTTTTATATTGTGTGTTTGAATAAATTTTAATGAATTTAACATTTGGCTTTAACCACTAACAAAACTTACAATAAAAAAATAGTAACAAAAATACAAAAACTAAAATATCTGATCCTTTGGTAATATTTACCAAGTTTAGCTTATTGTGAAAAAGTGGAAAGTGCACAATATCCAGTGAAAGTAAAACTGACTGCAGTAAAAATGGCTTCTAAAACTAGTTTATTCATCATTGTTCCACAGTGAGGTATGGTTTATCTTTGGCTATATTTATGTAATACATTAATAACAAAGGTGAAAAACTTCTTTCTCTCCATTAAAAGAAGTAAAATGTTATTAATTGTTCAAATACTTTTAACTTGTTACTGCCATAGATTTACTAAAAAATAAGCATACATGAAAAAATCCCCAAAACTTAAAAACAAAGTTTTATCGTCAAGATCTTTGTTATTAAGAGGAAAGACCAAAGGATTTTTAATGTAAAAATTTTAAAAATCCTTTTTAGAACCTTCAAAATTTTAATTAAAAATCTTGTTTATCTGGCATCAAAGTGGTACCATAAATTAGTATGGGAAATTTGAGTGTTATTTTGCAGTGAAAACATGCTGATTTAAGAATTCTTGCAAAAATCAGATAATTTGGAAGTTAATGAAATGGTTTCGAAATTTTTCCTTTTTAGAAAATCTTGGTAAAAATATATTTTAACATCTGTTACTGCCCCACTTGTTTAATTTTATGTAATTTCAAAACATTCTTTTTTTTTTTTTTATTTAGGGCTTATATTAGTTATAAAGACAAGTCCTCAAAGAATTTGCATCATCAGTTTTTTTGTTAAACTATATTAAATTATATTATTGGAATTAAAGCTAAAATAAAATCTTCAAGAAAGATTTTTCATTTTTAAAATGCATTTTAAACCTTAAGCGTCACTCTTTTGGGCCTTTTAACCTTTTTTAACTTAGTTTTTCTATCAATTTTCATTTAACAATATACAAATGATACTTGCCATCTGTGGATGTTAAAACAAAGACATCATATCCAACTTTCTTCCCAGCAACTACATCTTTTGGAGACCAGAGTAAGCTGGTTGGGAAAACCCCATCAGGTAAAGTGACAAATTTTGTTGTCTCTCCACTGTTGAGATTCCACCTCAAAATTGTATGATCGTCAGCAGTAGAGTAGACTTCTTCTGGAGTTGTCCAACAAACACAACTCACAAATTCACTATGTGACAAAAGATTAAGGATAAATAATTAAACCTACTATTTTGTTAATTTGATCACAGTTCATCAGAATCAATACATCATTCCAAGCTATATTTACGTAACTAGAGAGAAAATTCCAAACTATATTGAATAGAGAAAATATTATGGACAGGGCCAGCACTAGAGTCTTGCAACATTTCCCCCACCGAAACTTTGATATGCACCCCCCACCTCTCGACTACATGTCGATTTCAAAGTTCCCCAACCTGGGGACCCACAAACCCTCAAAGAAAAATCAGGACGCGGGGCAGTGCATTTTTTTTTTTTTTATATTGCCAAAAATCATGGAATTATCCAATTTAAATTAAAATCTCAGTACATATTCATTAATTATTTACTTTTATAATGGATAGGATTTTTTTATTTAAGAAAACTCTGAGAAAATGTTATTCTTTTTGTAATAATAACCACTAATATTTTCATGACTAAATTTTACTTGAAAGAAAATGTTTATTGCAAATTTTTATATTTCCAATGCATTTCCGCTGGAAAAGAAGTTTTACAAATATTCCAACACATTACAAACAGGATTGTCTTTTTTGTGAAAATATTTATTTTTTAAGCAATCATTTTATACTAAAAAAAAAAAGAAATCAGAGATATTCCTTAGTGGATGATCTAAGAATAAAAAATATTATTTATGAGATATATCATCCTCTTAATTGCTTTAAAAGAACTGTTCAGAAAGAAAATTACAATTTAAAAAATAAGCGCTATTGAAATTAGCACTTCTGCACCCCCATTAGGTTCAAGGGAATTAAGCACCGGCCCTGTCAATTATTATAGTTGATGATTGACAATATAACTTAGAAAAAAAGTAGAAAAAGCAAAAAAAAAGAATACTGCTGAAAGTAGCCCTTTTGCAGCTCCAACCTTGTTAACGGTTTCTGCGTAGTATGCACTGCACTGGCCATGCACAATGTATATTATTAGATGATGACTGACAATGTAACATCAGTTTTAAAATGATTAAAATAATGGTGGATAGCCATAAAACAGTGCTGAATAAAAAATTGCAGAGGCCACAAGGAGGAAAAAAAAGCAAAATAAGTGGGTGTTGTCACTTTAAGCAAAAATAAATAAGCAGAAGAAATGGTAAACCCTTTATAAACAGAATTGTACTTGATGGACAAACATCAGAAAAAGTCATGATTAACTAATTCTGTAAACAGTCAGCCAGAGCCAGACACTCACAGATCAATATGAGAGTAACTAGAAGAGTCTGTTTGAAGACTATACAATAGCCTTTTACAATATTCTTGAAGACTGGAAAAACATTCTGATAGATATTTATAAGGCAGAAAACTAATTATAAACTTTTTTTTTTTTAAAACAACTGATTCATGCTATAAAGAACAAAGAATAAAAATGAGGAAGTTATTGGCTTAAACAAATAAATTTGCAAAGAAACAAAATTTTTAAATAAAAAGAGTTCACTATGAAAATTCCAATAAAGTTTCTGAGTATGGAGACAGACACATGAAGGCTAGAGGGAAAACTGCTGAAACATTGTGAGTATAACGATTTAAATAAGCAAGCTGGTTTGAACAACAAAGCATATAACAACCTATTTAAGATTTTAAAAGCAGCACTATTTTTTCATCTTACTGATTATTTTAATCATAGTGTGCTTACTACAAAGTTTGATCATGCTTAGCTTAAACAATCAAAGAAATACTCACCCCATGTATCCACTTCTGTTCTTCAATGATGTAACAATTTTTTTTTTTTGAGAAGCTACTTTTGCTATATAAAACTATATTTAGACACTGATTTTGTAAATTCACTAGATACACGATTAGCTGCAATGTTACAGCAGGGATGATGTCTGTTTAACTTCTTGTGAACCAATATAAACCAATATAAAGAAAATTCATTAAATATTATGTTTCCATAAAAAAAAAAATTCTACAAAGACTACAGCTTAAAGAGATTAAGTACTCTGAAGCAAAATAATAATTCAACAATAACGTTTATTAGCTTAATGCATGTAAATATTTTCCAACACAAAGTTTTTAAGCAAGAAGAGTATTACTATTATACAAGAGGAAATGCAAAAATACAAGCACTGAGCAAAAAGTCTCCTTAGAAGCAATGCGCAGATTATTTAAATGCAGATATTTAAATACATTCAAATAACTTTCTTTGATAGGATGAAGATATAAGTATGGCCTGAAAATCAATGTCTTTAAAAATGTAGTCTCAAACAACAAAAGTAGCTTTTCAAAACAATGTCTCAAAAATATTGACTTATTTCTTTAACAAAAAAGTGTAGTGAGTATTGCACTGAAATACCACTGCGCAAGCTCAAGCACACTATTTGATGTGACTTTTTAATCAGCAATATAAAAAAAAATGAGGTTTCCTTTGGTTGTGTAAATTAATTATGAAACCTACATACTTGAAATTTGACAGGAACTTGTCTCATTATTATTTTTTATGTAATGTGGAGGTTCTTAATTTCATGATTAAAAAGTAATATTATGAAAATTAACCCAAATTGTGACAAAAATATTGGTCACAACAACACCAAAAAAAAAATCAATATCTTATTTTTTTAAAGTTAAATATTACAATCAAAATTCTAAACTTGAAAATCTTAATGGCTGGAAAACTGTTAGGTTAAAAAAAAAAAAAAAAAAAGGTGCAACAATTTAAAAAGAAAAAGAAAATTTTGGTTAATGTTTTTGCCAGGTCGTATTTGTAAGAAAAGTCAGTGGCGCTTTTTCTAGGTACCAAACAGGACTTTCTAAAACACCCGAAACCGCTTTTTAAATGCTTTCTTTGAACTGAAATTTTGGTTTTATTTGAAAGATAATAATATGCCAATTAAAAAAAAATATTAATTTCCCTAAAGTTGTTAGACATTTTTTAAACATTGGCACATTTTCTACTTGTCACTTATCGAAAGACGAAAAATGTAAACAACGAATTTAAAAATAAAACCAATATTTATCAAAGATAGGTTTCAAAATCATTTTTTAGTAAATTTAAGGATTAATTGACTGAATTTGTAAAAAAAGGTAAATTTTCATTTTAACACCCGAGCGTCATTCACTGCTGAACTATTTTCTTTCAAAAATTAGTACGCGCTTCCGTAAAACGATTTTTTTTGTACTTAATTTAAGAAGAAAGTTAACTTTCAAATATATGTAAACATCGACAAATAAAAGAATAACAAAAGAAAAAAAAACCTAACCCTAATTTGAAAGTTAACTTTCTTCTTAGGTACAAAAAATTTTTTTTTAAAAATCGCTTTACGGAAGCGCGTAATCTCTACAAGGAATTACTGTGAAGGAAGTAAATAGGCCCAAATTGTATACGTCCACCAACAAAATTCACCACTGAATTACTTATCAATAAGCCGGTAAATGGCTGACGAAAGACCAGGAAAAAGTCCGATTTTTTTCGGGTCGTTAACAATCAAAAAAGGTAGGTTTCTTCAATATCTAATTGTTGATTTGAGTTCAGCATATACATTTGCATGGAAATAAGACTATTTTGGAAAAATTTGAAGGGATATTAGCGCTCGGGTGTTAAAATAAAAATTTACCAAAAAAAAAAAAAAAAATGTTTGTTTTATTTAAAAGTTAAAAATTAAAATAACGTCTCTGTTTACGCACGGTAGCCTATGGAATAAAAAATGAAAAATTACACCCCTGACGTAAAAAGCGTACGAAAAATTAAAAGTTAAAATAAATAAAGAAATACGTAGCACCAGCAGTGGAATAATGAATATTGGTATTTATGTTTTAACCAAACAGATGACAACTTATCCAATAAAAAAAATGAACCAATTTTTGGCATTAAAAAGATTTCGCTTATAATGAAAATTTGGCCATGGATAGCCGCATAAATACATCCCACGAATGTAAGGCGTAACTTATTTTAAATTTTCCAACATGTGAGTGATTGACGTGAGTGAGCGAGAGCAATATTTGTAATCTAATTTACACACACAACAATTGTGAACAGTAAATCATCCAATGTGGATTTTTCAGTGTTTCCAAGAAAAATTAGAACGTCATAAAAAAAACAACAGGAAAAACCGCTCCATTATCTTTTCCGAATGAGTCATGCCAATTCACAGATAGTAAACTAAAAAGGAATTTATAGAGTCATGGTCTAGAAGAGATATGGCATTAAAAAACATATGCACACTACTGCTACACAAAGAGGTGCTGAAATTTTAGATTTGATTAGATTTATTTCGGGATTTCATTTTTTTTTTTTACACATTTGTAAACAAAAGTTATTTCTCAGCTTTAAAAATCTTGCAAAAATAAAATATTTCTGGGGGAAATTAAATTTAAATTAATCTGATTTGAAACAAATATTATTTATGGGACAAATGTTGTTAATCGATTTATTGACAGCCGTGTTCGTAGTTAAGTATGGTGCAGCAGACGATAAATTTTGAGGTTTTTTTTCCCGTTAGTTAAAATATATTAAAAACTTTTAAAACGTGATCTTTTAATGATAATGTTATAGTTTTGAACATCCATACTTAAAAATTCTGCACGTATATTGCACATACAAAAATAAATCGAAATTCTTTTAAAAATATTCAGGGTTGTCAGATTGTAATAATTAGTCTTACAATATATGATTTAGAAAATATAGTTTTATTTCTTAAAAGTTATCACAATGAAACTGAATTTTAAGATTTACAAACTTTAAATCTTGTAAAAAAAATCTTTTTCTTAAGACAATATTCATTAAAACTTAAACGCTTCTCTAATTAAATAATGCCTTAGTGTTATTGCGGTTTTTTTGGGTTTTTTTTTTTTTTTGGAGGGGGTTTCGATTCAGAAGATTTTCAGTAAGACGTGGTCCGATTTTGCTGAAAAATTCGGCGATTTAAATTCTTCAAAAAAATTCTTTTAATCACTAAAATTTGAATTTCTCAAGTTTTCATAAATTAAAAAAAATATATAATTTCACCAAGATTTTCTAATTAAAAAATAATTTCATTCATTTTTGAATGTCCAGGGTATTTCATTTAAAATCCAACAATTATTTCATTTTTGCAAGAATTTCCAAATTAATATGTATGTCACCGCCAAAAAGGCTAAAAACTTTGCTATGATGCTAAAAAAAAAGTTAGTAAAACCGCTGACGCAAGAAAAACAAGTTTTTCTAATCAAAATTTTGAACACTCTAAAAAAGAGTAAAAAAATTAAATAATAATAAAAAAATATTTTGATCCTTCCTCTTAAACGATTTCGAGGATAAAACTGTTTTCATTACATTTGGTTTGGAGCATGCTTGCATTATGGTATGCTGTTTTTTTGTTTTTTTTTTGTGGAGAAAGCTCCTCTTTTTCGCTGAAAAAACTACATCATAGCATGATGGAAAAAAGACTCCAAACTTAATAAAAACAGTTTTATCGTCAAAATGTTTGTTAGGAAAGGCCAAAAAGCATTTTTTCATTATTTTATTGAATTTTTTAATCATTTCTAGAAATTTCGAGAAATTAAACTTTATCTAGAAAATTGTTTTTATTCAATATAAACTAAAGCAAGACTCGTTGGAGAATAAAACATCAATTTTTTTGTTCAAGCTACAACTTACACATTTCCAGAAAATCTGCTCCGAATCGTAAAATAATAAATGAAATTTAAAACTATGACATTAAACTTTTAATTGCTTTTTCTTTCTTTTTTAAGGACACTATTGTCTTTTTTTTTTTTTTTAAATTCGATGAATAATGAACTTTTACAAGAATTGTTTTCATTTTTTTTCAATTTTTTTTTTAATCATAATTTATTTATCGTTTAAATTAAAATTCAGCATTACTTTTCCTAGGTTAGGGGATAGTTATTATTAAGTGAAAACTAAATTTACGAATCAAAAATTGAAAGTCTTATTGCATCAAGATTTTTAAAATAATTTGTAATTTATGTATATAAAATATTACGTAACGTGTCCCTATTTGAAAGTATCAGAAAATAAGAGCGATGACTAGTGGAGGTACTTGGTGTGATGTTTGAATTGTTTGTTTGGGGATACCGGCTGTGACAAGAACTTAAAATACTTTCTTTTTTTTTTTTTAAGACCCACAATTTAATTATTTGTCGGTTACGTGTTACAATTCAAGATGAAAATTGGATTTTAGAAGAAATATTGAGAATCAATTTTTAAAATACTTGAGACTTTCTTGATATTTACGCTTTTTAAAGCGTAAATATCAAGATTTAAAATTTTTAAAATAATAAAAGAACGGAAAACAATGGACAGGATGCTACTTTGATCTCAATTTTGAATTCTAAAAAGTT